TGTGCTTCCATGAAAAAGATAGCCAAGAAAACACTCTAGAAAACTCTATTCTGGAACTTTTGGGGTCAGCCTGAGTGGAACTGAGTTGATAGTAATGGGTTTGAGTTTTTGTTTATACTGTCAAACACAAAAGAATTTCCTGAACTAGAAAAGGAGGAGGCTAAAATTTCTGCTCTTTCCTACTAATCTTAGCCCTTTTCTTTTAGTAGTTGTTATGCGCCATCAAGTTGACTACAACTCGTAGTGACCCTGTGAACAATGGCTCTGAACCTTGCCTTATCCTGAGCCAATCTCACTATCCCAGGCACACGTATCCCTACCACCCCAGTCCCTGTGTCAATCCTTCTCATCCAGGGTCTTCCTTTCCTGCACTGGCCTTGTACCCTTCCAAACATAATATCCTCCTGGTGACATGCCCAAAGTATGTGAGATGGAGCTTCAAAATCCTTGCATCCAAGGATTCCTTTTAATGGAATACTCAATAATCATAGACCAGGTTTCTCATTAATTCAGAATCCAACCGAGGGTAATTTACTACTAAGAACTCCTTGAAGCAAAGTCTGTGACACCTCCTCCCTCCATTTCTAGTATCTAGCTCATCACTGGTACTTAGTAACTATCCAGTAAGGTTTATCTAATTAATTTATTGACACACTTAATGAGATGATAATGAGAAGAATTAAAATGTAGAGAGGAACAAAGTTTCTGGCAAAGATCACTCAGCAATTTCTTATCAAAAGAGTGCAGGCGTCAGCCTAATTGTGCCAGCCACAATACTCAATAGTAACACTAAAAATGGCTGCTCAAGAGATTTTCACTGCATAATAAGGCTACTTTCATCACTGTAACTAGAGGTCAAAGATTACATTTAGATACTGAAATTATCAAGTTGAAACTTTCTATGTAGTTGATTTTACAACTAATATTTTTAAATGGTGTCTTTCAGTGATTGTTGTGGCCTTGATAGATTAAACTTTCCAAAGCGTATTTATACTAACAACAAAGACTGGCAATGCTATTTATGAAAGCTGAAAAAATGAAAATTTATGAAGCGGGGTTTGTATTTCACAAGCATTGTGTCGTTTAAGTACTTTGGATCTCTTTTTTAGGGAAAGCAATGACTCATTTGTCCTCTCTGTGTGTCCTTTACGATCTGTCTCCAGTATAAAAAAGACATTTTGTTTAAAACAGCAAGGCTAAATTGACCTAATAAAGCTCTCTGGACAAATATCCTGTGATCAAAGAGATCCAAGGAAAGCAATGTAATTTCTAGAGAGTTTTTGAGGGTTCAAAAACCCTCAAAATCTCTCTCTTGACCTACTTAAAATAGGAAGTTTTGCTTGCTAAGAATGCAAAACCCTAGGACATATTTAGCTTGAATAGGGAACTTGAGTGAATTCTCACCGGGCAGCTACATTTTCATACTCAGAACTGGAATCCTACACAAGCAGTTACAACTCAGACAGTAAACAAACGGAAATAGAGATACTGTTTCTAACCAGCCCTTAAGAGAGAACATCTATTATGTTATCCAGAAGAGGAGGAAAGTCCATTTTCTGACTCTCAACAGTGTTAGTAAACATGGGGCCTCGTTAGGCATAATCAGTTACACAAACGGAACCAAAGAAGAGGCCTTACTCGGTCAAATTCCCTCCTTGTTCTGTTGTTCTGTGTGCCATCGAGTTGGAACCAACTCATAGCCGACTATCCAGTGGATTTTCATAGGCAATAAATCGCAGAAAGGAGATTGTCCATCCTTTTCCTACCCGTCTTGCTCTGGCATAAGTTTAAAGAAAAATAGCTTTTCCCTATAAATGTGGAAGCCACCTATTTACACTCCACAGAAGTTATATATGGTGCCCTCACCCCACTAGAGGATAACTAGTATTTAAATTCTGAAGGTTGATTATGTTTCCTGAGGATGTGGACAACTTAAGGAGATTTTATGCAACAAATAAGATCTTTGCCTGTGGTTTCACCTCCCACAATTTAGGACACACTTAAGGCAGGTGTTTACCCACTTTCTTCTTTGACCTCAAAATTTACCTACCTTTCTTCCTTGACTCACCTCTACCCCCTCCTCCCTGTTTTCTCTTCTGAAAAGCTTGCAAGACTAGTGAGAAAAGTGGGGCAATGTCTCTTTCTAGGCACACTGCTCAAGGAAACAGATAGAGATGGATACAAGTATCAGGCTCTTGGGTTTTGAAATGAGGGTGAGGTGAGGTGATTTAATAACTCAGGTTTCATTCTCAAATGTATGGAGGAAAGGAGCAGTGCCAAGACCTACAGGCTGCCATCTTTCTCTCAAAATGGTTCTAAGCGGAAATTACCATAGAGACATGATCTCTTGCTTAAATCAGTACAAATATATTCAACTATGTTTCAAAATAGGAGAATCTAGAATTAAGTGTTTAATTACACAAGCCAGCCTATAATACAGTAGTAACATAATGTAAACATTTTCAGAATATTATGAAGACTAGTTAAGTATAGTATATATTTTTAGCATTAGTTTATATCTAGACTAACTTTTAAAATTAGTAATTATATAACAGACATAGTGATTCAAAATAAAGCAGTGAGACTAGTATCCAGGTGATTGTCAGAATCCTGTCAAGTTTTTGCATATTTTGCTTTCAAAAAAGTTCTTAAATACTTGCTGCAACCAGTCTTGTTTTACACACATGAAATTGAGACTTAGACCGGTTAAGCAACTTGTCCAAAGTTACGTAGGAGTGGAACATAAAACTAGATCTATAACAATTTTTCTCACTAAATCTTATAATAAAAATTAGCTCAAGTTTTATAATGTTGATTGAGAAAAGAAAAAAAAGTTAAGTGAAAAATAGATTAAACAATTTAAATCTGAGGGTACTAAGTTAGGGATGAGATTTGTCATCAGGGGACTAAGTTAGGCTTCAGATTGGCCAGGTTTGGGCCAGGCCAAAACCATACTCAGCCAGGCTCGTTGTTTTTACATACTATTAAGTCAGAAACGATTCACAGCTGGACCTTCAGAAGGGTTTTCAAAGGCAGCAAACTGCACAGGAGGAGATTGCCTATCTTGTTCTTGCTGAACAGATTGTGCATTCAAGCTATGTATGTGTCTTTGAGCAAGTAGCACAACTCCTTACTGTTAAGCTAGCAGAGCCAAGCCAGTGGCCCAAAACACACTTCACTGCTAAATGAAAGGTTGGTGGTTCAAATCCACTTAGTAATTTCTTAGAAGAAAAGATTCTAGAGATCTTGCCCTGTAAGCATTTCCAACGTATGACCACTAAGTGAATTTTTACTCCTAACTACCGTGTAGAACAGTTTTTAACTACCCGGTAAGGTTGCCAATGCTGTGATTTTAAGAGAAGCAGACAGCTTTGTATTTCCTCCACTCTACCCCTAGTAGCTAACTTTCTGGTAAGCAGCTAAGTGCTTAACCACTGTGCCACCCAGATCCTTCTGTAACAACTACAGCTTGAAAAATTTTCTATGGGAAGATCTCTTTTATATAGGGTCACTATGAGTTGTAATCAATCCAAAGGCACACAATAGTGTTTAAAAAGTGGTTTTTTAAATACAATAACATTTTGAAAGTTTTGAATACAATAACATTTTGAAGATTTTACATTAAAAACTTTCAGTTTTTACTTCTTTTGAAGAATGAAAAATATAGGAATACCACACCATGAAAACATTAGAACTAGGTAACCCCAAATCAGATCCATTAATGTTGAGTTGATCCAGACTCCCATTAACTCTTCATCAGGTTTCTGAGGTCATAAATCTTACCAGGTGGAGACTGCCCATCTTTCCTCCTCAGAGTTCTGGTAGATTAGAGCCACCAGAGTCAAGTCACACTTTCATTTGCAGCAGAACCATATTTTGTTGCCACCAGAGTTCCCAGGGCTGTGGGGTGTTGGTGTTAAGTGCCATCAATCATAGCTAATGCTCTGGTTTTTAGAAGCTAGAAATCACAGAGTAGATTGCCCATCTTCCTCTCATGCAACAGATGGCAGATTCAAACCACCTGCCTTTGACTTGGCAGCGCAATTCCTTACCACTAGGCTACCAAAACTCCCACCAGAGATGGGTAGTAGACTAAATATGTACTTTTTTCACTAATTGATTTTGATCTAGTTTCACTGTATGTACTTTTTCACATAGTTCCCCCTTACATCCTTAATTCACATACTTTACTTAGTTCCTGAAGACATTTGAGTTTACAACTCTTGTTGTTTGTTAACGAGCATGATGTATAAGTGATTCTATGAACAAAAGACCTGAACCTTGTTCTATAACTATTGTCATTTCTCTAAATTCATTGAGTTTCCAGAGGCATGTTGTTTAGGAAGTGAGTGTCACTCCTGCTTCTAAGCCTTTCTTACCTGGGAGCTCCACCAAAATCTGTCCACCATAGGTTACCGTTATGGCATTTGACACACCAGTGGCACAGTGTTCAACATCACAGCAACCTCAAGTTACCTCAGTACAGTGAATTGACAGACCAGTGCTGTACCACTTAGAAGAATGTTCATGCCAAACACAATTAACATGAGGCCCTGAGGCCTATAGCACCCAGTCCCAACCAACTTTAAATACACAGGACCATACACCAGGTGCTAGTTGGCTCTATATAAGAGGCTTCCAGCCAACAGCTCATTGTAAGGAAACTCTTGTAGGAAACCAAAAGGACTACTGGTGGTACTGTGGTTAAAGCACTTCCTCCCAAGCCAAAAGTGTGTGAATTAGAACCATTAGCCTCTCTGCCAGAGGAAGATTTCCCAGTCAGCTGTCGAGCCTTGGATACCTTTTAAAGGACAGTTTTTCTGTATTTGATATAGTGTCAATGACTCTGATTCAGAGGCCAGAGGGCTTTGAGTTGCTTGGTTTTATAATTAACCCAATATTAAAATAGACCATACCAATGTGACTAAGACAAGACTGGTAATTACCAGTTAGCGCTAAACTACCTTTCATTTGGATTTTGAATATGCTCCAATACTTACATCCAGCAAATATGTCTTTTCCACATATCAGCATCTCCCGAAAATATCCAGGACATCTGGCTGTGCAGTATATTGAGGCGTGAGGTTTCAGGAAGTTATTGTACTGAAGTAGAGCTGTTGTTTTATTTATCCTTGTCATTTGAAATGTTTCTCTGATGCCATTGTAAAAATGAAAGCTTTCTGGCTGGCAATTCTTAATTGCTGCTCGGCAAAATATAGAAATATTCATACCCATCTTAAAAATTGTGGCTGGTTCTACCCAGATGTGGCCAGAGCAGCGAATATTCATAATTCCTGGAAATAAAACAATAAATTTTATGTAAAACAATAAAACAAAAATATTCAGAAAGATATGCTATTGTATTTTTTTTATGCTATTGTATTTAAAGTATAGTCTTTGCTATTAATGATATTCTTTCCATTGAAAAAAATGGTTTTAGAACTAAGTGTATTTTTTTTTCAATTAATTAGGTGGTCACAGTGCTCTTTCCCTTCTTTTTAGTCAACTCTGGCTGATAGTGACATTATAAGGTGAAGTAGAAATGGCTTACAGGGTTTCCAAGGCTATCAGTGTGTTATTATTATGTTTCTGTTGACTTTCATCGGCATAACACAAGATTCAGCCTTTATCTGTCCCTAATTGTCTCTGTAAAGGAACCCAAATTGTACACTGTGTGGAGCTGGCCATTGAAACGTCAGTTTCAACTCCACCAACTGCTCTGCTGGGGAAAGATGGGAGGTCTCCCCCTGATGGAAGATCATTATTAGTCAAAACAGATTCAGGGCACTTGGTTGGGTTTGGCTTTGGCTTTGGCGAAATAGTAGTTAGTAGTAGTAATTTGAGCTTGCTAAGCTCAAAGTTGATGGAATTGACTCAATGTAAACACAAAACCAAATGCTCAATAGTGATAAAAATAATTTCATCTAGGGAACTCTGGTGGCCTAGTGGCAAGAAACTGCACTGTAATCCCAGAAGTGCATGGTTAGAATCCACCAAATGCTCTGCTGGAGAAGGAGGAACAACAATCTCCTCCAGTACCAGTCAGATCTGATTTGATGGTGCACACAAAAAAATAATAAAAATAAAATAAAATTTTAAAAACCCAATTCCATCATCCTCACAAAGGGATTTCAGCCCGTTCATTTTTCTTTTAAGAAAGTATTTGACTAAATAAATTCAGCAATTCAAATTCAAATTAAACTCCACCTGCAACACCTTAAAGAGATATTTACTTTCAACATGTAAATTCATTTAATGAGTAGTCATTGAAAATATAAGGAAAACTAAGAAAATCTGAGATAACTAGATTGGGAGGATGTTGTTCTGGGTTTCTAAGATGGAAAGAAGAACCTCAGATATTCTAATCCATTAAGCTTCACAATATTTAAGAATTGTTTGACAAGTTAATTATTTTTTTCAATTCACAGAAAAAGCAACTATGAATAAAGAGTAATAAATATAAGTCTTACCAACACACATATATTTTCCTATATAATGGCATAATTAACTGTCAAAAGAATGCTAAGAGTGATATTTTTTTTATTGAAAAGAAATGAAAAAGTAGAAAAACCTTATAGAAAAACTAGTAGAAAACTTGCGGAAGATAAAACCTAGATGATAGTAAATGCAAGTTGTTGTTGCTGTTATGTGCTGTCGAGTCACTTGCGACTCATAGTGACCCTATGTACAACAGCCCTAAACTCTGCTCTGTCCTGTGCCAATCGTACTGTCTCAAACACACCCATCCCGATTATCCCAGTCACTGAATCAATCCATCTCAATAGAGGGTCTTCCCCTCCTGTGCTGTCCCTCCACCCTACCAATCATGATGTCCCTCTCCAAGGACTGGTCCCTCCTTACAACATGTCCAAAGTATGTTAGACGGAGCCTCAAAATCCTTGCCTCTAAGTAACCGCCCTGTTTAACCCTTTCCAGGATGAATCTGTTTCTTTTCCTAGCAGTCCATGGTACCCTCAATACTCTTCTCCAGCACCACAGCTCAAAGGCATCAACTCTCCTTCTATCCTCCATAGTCACTGTCCAACTCTCTGATGCATAACAAGTGATTGCAAAGACCATGGCCTGTATCAGACGCACCTTAGTCTCCAGAGAGACACCATTGCTCTTTAGTACTTTGGAGAGGTCCCTAACAGCAGACTATCCCATGGCACTATGTCTTTTAATTTCCTGGCTACTGGTGCTGAGAGTGTTGACTGTGGAACTAAGCAAACTAAAGATGTCAAAAATCTCAATCTCTTCACCATCCAACCCGATGCTGCCAATTGGTCCAGTGGTGAGAATCTTTGTCTTCTTGACATTGAGCCTCAATCCATACTGAAAGCTGCAGTCCTTGACCCTTTGCAACAAGCACTTCAGGTCCTCCTTAGTTTCAACAAGCAGGGTTGTGTCATCTGCATAGTGCAGATGACAAAGAAGGCAAAGAAGGGTGACCCAACATAGTGTGGAAACTATAGAACAATATCATTGATTTCACATGCAAGCGAGATTCTACTGAAGATTATCCAAAAATGACTGGAACAGCATGTCAGCAGAGAACTGCCAGAAGGCTGGGTTTAGAAGGGGTCATGGTACTAGGGATATTGTAGCTAATGTTAGATGGATCTTAGCTGAAAGCAGAGAATACCAGAGCAATGTCTATCTGTGTTTCATTGACTATGCAAAGGCATTTGACTGTGTGGATCATAACAAACTGTGGCTGACTCTGAGAAGAATGGGAATCCCAGAACACTTGATCGTGCTAATGTGAAACCTATACTTTGACCAAGAGGCAGTCGTCAGAACAGAGCAAGGAAACACTGCATGATTCAAAACTGAGAAGGGCGTATGCCAGGCATGTGTCCTGTCACCATACCTTTTCAACCTGTATGCAGTACAGATTACCCGGGAGGCTGGGCTCTATGAGGACAAGTGTGGTGTCAGGATTGGTGGAAATACAAGTTAAACAACGATATATAAAATGATTCCTGATGGGTATTTGTAAGGTCTCTATGTCATGCCTCAGGGGCTTGTCTTATTTACCCAGGGCTCTACAACAATCAATTGAACATATAAACAGATTCCTATTTTTAATCTTCAGATTTCAGGAATGTGGGGAAGACAGCTGCTTTCTTATTTCCCTTGAATTGTTTTAGATACTGGTTAGTCTGACTTGAGACATGTTGGGTATGTTTCCATCCCCAGTATAATTATATCTGAACCTGCAGAAGATTATTCTTTTGTCACTGTTTTGAGTAACTTGAATGATCTGCAAAATTTTCTCCAAGGTCTGGAGCTTTCCCTGGTTGCTGCCTGTCTCTGCTTCCTGTGGATATTGTTAAACATAAACAAACAAAACACCAATACAGTTGACCCCAATTTGTGGTGACCTTGTGTGTGCCAGTTTTCAGAAAGTAGATAGTCTGACATCTCTTCTAAGGCAACTAATGAGTGGATTTGCATCTCCAAACTTCTAGTTGGCAGTTGGGCATATTTATAATGTATGCCACTCTTGTTGTGTACCACCAAGTTGGAACCGACCCATAGCTAACCCTCCAGCAGGATTTTAGAGGCAGTAAATTGCACAGGAAGAGATTGCCCATCATTTTCCAGCAGAGCAGCTGATACATTTGAACTTGTGCCTTTGGGTTGGCAGCACAATTCCTTACCACAAACCACCAGAGCTCTCTTTACACCTTTGGGGATTTCCTTTACACGACTTAGGGCCTCTTCTCCCTAAGAAACTCAAATACCAATTACAGTCCTACCTTTAGTTCTCATGATCTCCACTCTAGATTTTTTTAAAGCTGCTTATGACTAGCTGTCTTTCCATATTCTATGCTATTTAATGACTCCAGATGTGTGTGAATTAAAGAATAGCACATAATATTTAGAGCACAAAATGTTACTGCACCAAGTTGGTGGGATGTATAAGAAGGGGGCTTAGCATAGTGACAGGAACATAGTAATCATTAATAAAAGGCTCAATGAATGAAATTCAGACTCCAGATGAATTCTTTCATAACAGTTAAAGTAGTTCAAATATAGAATACGCTGATCAAACGAATGAGTTCTTTCACAGAAATGTTCATGTGAGGGTTAGGAGGATTGTCCATCTTGGAGAGTTTCAAAATAAATTCTACATGTAGAACAAGGTTGGACTTTGTTTATTTTATTTCATATCATTTTGATGTGCATATAAGTTTTCTCATTCTCCTAGTTATTATTCCTTGCATAGTATATGTTATGATTCTCTGATTCAGAGTGTTCAAAGCTGGTCCATCTCATCTCACTATGCAATATTAATGTGTATCATTTCATTTTTAACTATTTCCAGTTTTCCAAAATTCAAGCTACATACATTCCATTTTCCAATTATTAAATGATGTTTTTAATTGTTTTTTCCTCATTTTAACTAACTTCCAATCTAGGCTTTCACACTACACTGTTGTAACTACCGACTTTCTTTAATGTTCATAGGATTTTCAAAGGTCTGTTCTTTAGGAAGTCGATGGCCTGTCCTGCTTCCTAGTCTGTCTTATTCAGGGAGCTTCACCAAAACCTGTCTGCCACGGGTAACCCTTATGATATTTAACACACCAGTGGCACAGCTTTCAGTATCACAGCAGCCCCAACTTATTTCAGTACACAAAATAATATTATCCATGAAGAAAATAAAAAGTTCTTTACACAGAGGAAAGAAGAGGGAGAGGTGAGTAAAGGAAATGGGAAAGATCCAGTGTGAATGTATACAAACTTTGTAAGTAAACCAGTATAAAATGAAAATTTTATAAAATTTAATGAAAAATAAATAAGACAGAGGAGGGGAAACCCCAAAATGGATGTTAAAAGAGACTCTGAAATTATACTGGAACACTGAGAACCCAAACCAAAAGGAAAACATGCCTAAGTGAGAGATGAACAGAAGATTTCAAAGGGTTGCTCAGGAGGACAAAGAAAAGTAGTATATAATGGAATGTGTAGAGAGCTGGAATTGGAGAATAAAAAGAGAATAACTCGCTCTGTGTTTCTCAAGCCAAGAGAACCGAAAAATTTAAGCTGTGTGTCACAACAGTGAAAGATGCTATGAGCAATATATTGAATGACCCAGAAAGCTTCAAAAGAAGATGGAAAGAATACACAGAATCACTGTACCAAAAAAGAACTGATCAAGACTAAAAACTTCAGGAAGTTCTTAATGAACAGGAGTCAATAGTAATGAAAGAGAAAGTGAAAGCTGCGTTGAAGGCATTGGTAAAATATAAGGCCCTAGCAATTGATGGGATACCAATTGACTTGTTTTGATTAACAGATGCAGCCTTGAATTTGTCACCAGTCTATGCCAGGAAATTAGGAGAACAGCCATTTGGCCAACAAATTGAAAGAGGTCCATATTTGTTCCCATTCCCAAGATAGGTGATCCAACTGAATGTGGAAACTATTGAATAATACCATTAATAACACATGCAAGCATAATACTGCTAAAGATCATTCAAAAATAGTTGGAACAGTACATAGATAGGGTTCAAGAAGTTCAAGCAGGATTTTGAAGAGGCCATGACACCAGGAAAATCATTGTTGATGTCAGATGGATCCTGCCTGAAAGTAACAAATACCAGAAGAATGTCTATTTGTGCTTAATTCACTATGCAAAAGACATTTGACTGTGTGGATCATAAAAGCTTGTGGTTGACATTGAGAAGAATGGAAATCCCAAAGCACTTAATTGTGCTTATGCAAAACCTATACCTGGACCAGGAAGCTGTTGTGTGAACAGAGCAGGAAAACACTACATGGTTTCAAATTGAGAAGGGAGTGCCACAGGGTTGTGTTCTCTCTCTGTACCCATTCAATCTGTATACTGAGCAAATTATTCAAGAAGCTGGACTCTTTGAAGAAGAGGATGGCAACAGGATTGGAAGGAGACTCGTCAATAACTTGCATTATGCAGATGATACAACTTTGCTTGCTAAAAGTGAAGAGGAATTGAAGCACTTGTTGTAGAAGATCAAGGAAAGTAGCATTTGGTTTGGATTGTATCTCGATGTCAAGAAAACAAAGATTCTTATCACTGGACTGATAGGCAACATCATGATGGGTAGAGAGGAGATTAGAACTGTCAAGAGCTTCATCCTTTCTTGGATCCACAAATAACATCATTGGTACTCACAGTCAGGAAATAAGGAGATACATTGCACTGGGAAAATCTGCAGTTAGGGACCTCTCCAAATCATTGAGGAGTGATGATGTCAGTTTGAGAATTAAGGTGCATCTGATTCAGGCTATGATATTTCCAATAATTTGCTGTGCTGTCCAGCTTGAGAGCTGGACAATGAATAAGGATGACAGAAAAAAGAATTGAGACTTTTGAGCTGTGGTGTTGGAGAAAAGCACTGAACTTTGCATGGACGGCCAAAAGAACAAACAGTTATGTATTGGAGAGGGTGCAGCCGGAGTACTCTTTGGAGGCAAGAATGATGAGGCTTCACCTCACATATTTTGGGCATGTTGCTAGAAGGGGCTATTTCTTGGAGGGAGGCATAACACTGGGAAGGAGAGGAAGACCCTCAACCAGGTGGATTAACACAGTGACTGCTGCAATGGGTTCTAGTGTGTCCTGAAATATGAGGATGGCACAGAATAGAACACGGTTCAGGTCTTTTTTTCGTAGGCTTGCTGTGAGTCGTATTCAATGCAACAGCACCTAACAAAAACAGCAATATAGTTGTTATATTCTTAAGAGGTTCTAGCACAAACTTTGATGAAAATAGTCAATATTTTTCTTATCAAAGATAAAAACGTATACTCAAAATACTATACCTCCATGGCACCGATTGAAGAGTATGTAAAGAACAATTATCACATCCCAATGAATTATGACTTGATTCATGCCTGTGAACAGAGAAGTCATTTATATTTAGCAAAAAATATTAACAATTTTTAAATTATGATTTTATAGAATAACAATACAATTATTATTATTCTATTTTTTGTAAGTTATTCTGTTTTATGAGACCTTTTCTTTAGTAAGGAAGGAAAGCAACAAGTATTAAGATAATATCAGCAGTGTATGAAGAGGTATAATAAAAAATAGACAAAGTAAAACAAGAAAATGGAATTTGAAACCCTCAAAAATCATTGTAAATTATCTTAATAGAGCATATTGAACTTTACTACAATAACAGTTGTCATAAATTAGTCTTTCTTGGCAGAAGCCACCTTCTCTAACTTCTATTGATAAATTCTTCTCCTGACCAGAATTATACACCTCTCATTCTCCAGAAATATCAGTCTTTGATGAGAATAATGTACAAAAACAAAAAAAAGTTCAGAATTTCCAGATAGAAGGAATTCAACATGAGGAAAGATGAATTGATATAAGGCATACTTACTATCACCAGTTACATTTATTAAAAAACCTTACACAAAAAAACACACATAAGAGAAATTTTCTAGGATACTGGTCTTGGATTACAAATGCAGCTACATTATACAATCAGTTATTCTATTGAATAATTTTATTTAATATGAGATATAGAATATAGAATTGCTGTCAAGTTAATTTTAACTTATGGCAATTTAATATTTAATATTCAACACTATTACGTTAAAATGTGAGGTTGGATATCTCACATAAAACCATAGCAACAAAAAGTAATGGCTTATCAAATAGTAAAAAACATCTAAAAAACAATAACAACGGGAGCTCCTAGGGCCCATGAATTCAATGTTTACTTTCATAATCAGCAACAATAGGTCTTCTCTTTGTAATTAAAATGCAAGAAAAACCTAAAATTTTCCCAGTTAAAAGTTAACTAATAGGATATATGCAATAATAACCTGCCACTTTGGTGGTTTGTTGTTGTTGTTATTGTTGTTATGTGCTGTTTAGTCAAGTCTGACCCACAGTGACCTTATGAATAACAGATCTGAACACTGTCTTATCCGATGCCATCCACAAATCTCTGGCACACTAGAGCCCATTGCAGCTGTCCCTGTGTCGATCTACCTGGTTGAGGGTCTTTTTCTCTTTCACCAGCGCTCCATCTTTCTAAGCATGATGTCCCTCTCTAAGGAATAGCCTCTCCGGATAGCAACATGCCTGAAATATATGAGACGCAGCAGCTTTATCACCGTTGCCTCCCAAGCAACACTCTGGCTGCACTTTCTCGAAGACATATGTGTTTGTTCTTTTGGCAGTCCGTAGCATATTCAGTATTCTCCAACACCACAGCCCAAAGACATCAATTTTTCTTCTGTCATCCTTATTCATTGTCCAGCTCTCAGATGCATAGCAAATAGTGGTGGTTTAGTGGTAAGAAAATGCACTGCCAACCCGAAGGCACACGATTTGGATTCATCAGCTGCTCCGTGGGAGAAAGACGGGCATTTCCTCTTGTATTGGCACTGAAACCCACTGAAGGGTCTGCTATGAGTCGGTTCTGACTCGATGGCACATAAGAACTAAGTAATAGCAGACAATAGTAGGGATTCCACTTTCTCCAATAGCGACTGCATGAAATAACACTAGAACTTACAAGAGAATTAAACTTGGTCTACACATTTACAAAGGAAACACAACTGACTTCAGGTGCTTACCTTTCAGCCTGTTGGAAGCACATTCTTCCTCTTAGAGCCCGGCTGCTGCTCTTGTTGGTAGTGTCGTGGTCTTTTGTCCCTCCAGCCTGCCTGCCAATGATCACCTCAGATTTTTAGCTCTGAGCAAATGGAAATGTCAGCACAGCCCTGACCTACATTTCAGATTCTTGAAGAGAAACTCAAACTGTCCAGTTTGAAATGACTGGCTCTCATGTCACTATTTGGGAAAACCCAGATTACTTAAAATGAACTGCTTTGTCAGTACTTTTATTCTCTCATCTTTAAAATTCTTTCTTTCCTCCAAGAAGTAGAACTTAAAAAAAAGATTTAAAACATGATACTTAGCTTTCATTTTCCACAAACATGGATGCTTATTTTTGGATTAAAAGCTTGTTTTTTAAGAAAAGAAAAAAATTAATTATTATTTTAATTCATTTATTTCATTAAGTAACAAGAGTTTTGAACATCTTTTATGTGCTAGGCATTGTTCTTGGCAAGATACAATAGTGATTAATTACAGATCAGCTTCTTCTATTGTTTACAATATGGAAATACAGATCAATGCTTTTTTTAGTGGACTTTTTTTGTTTTATTTAAATTTAATATTAATTTCAGTAAAAATTTACAGAAACTTTGGATTTCCATTCATTCACTGTTGCACTTTTCTACCCTCTCAACCCTCCCCCCTAGTACACAACCCTCTTGGAAAAGTAAAAGAAAAATTCTATCATTGTTTTACAAACCCTCCCCCAGGTCCACTCCACCACGTAGTCTTCGCTCTAGACTCCTATCATGACAAAAATACCTAATCACATATCCCTTTTAAACAGTTTTCTCTCTCGGCTGTTTCAATGCAGTATACATTATTAAACCCATCTTTCTCAGTCTCTCCCCAACCCCAAGGTCAGTCCTGTTTTACAACAGTGGCACCATGCAGTATTTGTCCTTTTTTGACTGAGATACTTCACTCAGCATAATGTCCTCCAGGGTCACTCGTTTTTAAGAATATTGCATGAGTTCCTTGTTCTTCAATGAAGCATAATATTCCAATGTGAATATACCACAGCTTCTCTATCCATTCGTTTGTTGATGAGCACTTAGGTTATCTCCAACTCCTTGTTATTGTGAACAAAGCTACAATAAACATGGGTGTGCATAGAACTATTGTTCATGATTTGACAATGTTACCTAAGAAACAAAGTAAACATTAACTTTTTTTAGTTAAAAAATCATCTCTACTGCATGTGGTATGCACAACAACGACATTTCATAACATATCCTTCCTTCCCATCCCCCACTTTTATTTATTTAATATATTCCTTTCTTTTCTTTCTGTGTGCTCTAATTTATTGGAAATGAAAAATCACTTGCCTTTTACACAGTAAACACCTAAAATCATAAACTTTGATCTGTCACATTTTCATATCTGAGTCGTTAGCATACTAGAATAATCTGAGGGACCATGTGAAGAATTCCTACACTTGAAATTAGAGAGTCAATATGTATGCTGAGCATATTATTTGAGAAGCTTGTCTCTCTGAAGAATGATGTGGCATCAAGATCAAAGGAAACCTCATCCACAATCTTCTTTATATAGATGACATAACCTTGCTTGCTGAAAGTGAAGAAGACTTGAAACGTTTGCTGCAGAAGATCAAAGACTACAGCCTTCAATATGGATTGCATCTTAACATTAAGGGGAAAAAAATCTTACCACTGAACTGATAAGTAATATCGTAGGAGATGGAAAAAAGATTGAAATTGTCAACTATTTTATCTTTCTTGGATCCACAATCAACATCCTTGATATTAGCAGTAGGGAATCAGGATATGAATTGTATTGTGTAAATCTGCTATCTGGGACTTCTCCAAATTACTGAGGAGTAATGACATCAGTTTAAAGACTAAGGTGCACATGATTGAGGCTATGGTCTTTTCAATCACTTGCTATGCATCTCAGAGCTGGGCAATGAATAAGGATAACAGAAGAATTTATATTTTTGAGTTTTGGTATTGGAGAAGAGTAAAACTATCCCATGGATTGACAAAAGAATAAACAAATATATCTTGGTTAAAGTACAGTCAGAGAGCTCCTTACAGGCAAAGATGGCAAAAAATCACCTCATATACATTAGGCATGTTTCTAGAAGTTATTCCTTGGAGAGACAAACTATGCTAATAAAGGTGGAGGATCAGTGAAAAAGAGAAAGATCTTCAACGAGATGGACTGACATAACATAGTGACTATAGCAGTAGGCTCAACCATGTCAGATATGATGAGGATGCAGGACAGGACAGGATTCAGATCTGCTATTAACAAGGTCACTATGAGTTGTACTCAACTCAACAGCAGCATACATGGATTCATTCTAGCAATTAAACCAGAATTTCCATGAGAATTGGACATTGGCACGTTTTGAAGCTTCCAATTATAATGAGAATCCAGGGATGAGAAACATTACTCTCTGAAGGCCCATAGAAATGACTGGCAGTTGGATGGAGATTGGTAAAATGACACAGGACCAGGAAGTACTGCTTCTGTTGTACATAAGTTTGCTATGGATCAGAGATGACACCATGGCAGCCAACAGTAATAATACATTTCTAAGCTTTGAAGTAGGTGCTAAGGGAAAACAATGCAAATTTATAGAACTTAATATGAGAGAAAGATGGATATTTTGGGAATAGAAGTGGTTTTAAAAGGTTGAAGGAAGTAGAATTTAAGTAGGAAAATTAAGTTAGTGCTGTAATGGAGTGGAACAAGTGGTTTGATCTTTACCTTAAGGTAATAAAGAGATATAAAAAATTTCTCAGAAAAATAACAGTAAAATCTGGTACCAAAATATTAAATCTACTTGTTGTGTGTACCAACAACCATAGCTGATCCTGCAATGGTTTCTCAGAAACAGTTTAATCACACTAGAAGAGATTGCCCATGTTATGTGGAAACATATGATGATTTAAGATGAAAAGGCCTATCATGAAACTAAATGAAGTCAGTTATGAAGTTATTGAAAATTAAGAGCAGATGAGGGTCAGAGGCAGTAAGAACTGAGGGGAGAAAACAGATTGAAGAGCTACTGTAGTGGCAGAAGGAGCCCTGGTGGCAGAGTGGTCAAATGTAATGGAATGCTAAAAAATGCTGATAGTTCTAAATCACTAGCTGCTTTGTGAGAGAAAAATGTGGTGCCTACTTCCATACAGATGTATAACCTAGAAACCCTGTGAGCAATTCTACTACATTCTAGAGGGTCACTATGCGTTGGAATATATTCAGTAGCAATTAGTTTG